TCCACTGTATCCTCTGCAACTCATCATCAAGCTGTGTGCTCGTCCGAAAACTACTGCCATTCACATCCCTCCCCCCCCTCTCCTCCCCCTCCTCCCCCCTCCCCCTCCTCCCCCATGGACACATTAATCAATTGCAACGTTTCGTGAAATGGAAAAAAAAAAAATTATACTTCCCGAAATATAAAGGAATATTATTATTATTATTATTATTATTATTATATAATGGAATTATGTGAATTATTTTTTGGGTTATGTGTGTTCTGGTTCTGGTGGCAATTACTTGTATTTATTTATTTTATTTTTTTTTTAAATTTAAACCCCGAGGGGCGAGTTTGTTGGGCAGCGCCACTCATCCTGTGAGTGGACACACACCGCCATAGTGACAGTATTGGGCAGCGCCACTCATCTTGTGAGTGGACACACCGCCATAGTGACAGTATTTGGGCAGCGCCACTCATCTGTGAGTGGACACACCGCCATAGTGACAGTATTGGGCAGCGCCACTCATCCTGTGAGTGGACACACCGCCATAGTGACAGTATTGGGCAGCGCCACTCATCTTGTGAGTGGACACACCGCTATAGCAGAATGTACAACACTCCCCAATAGGAAGAAAACCCGCTGGGTTGTTCATCCTGTCACTTGTACCCAGACACAGTTGGGACTGGATTAACTTTAATTGTCTCACGTGACTGTTGGTGTAGCATTTAGAGTGGGTAGGGAGGCGGGGGGAGAGGGTGAAAGATGTGATTTGAGGAAAGGAAATGAACGAAGCAACATCCGATAACAGGGATATACACACCAAGAGGTGTGTATACCCGCCACTACTCGGTAAACTCACACCGAAAGTCTACTTTAAGCCTAAACTATGTTCAGGGGCTAATGTATATACTTTGCTGGTGTGTCAATAAAACTTGAGAAGTTGATAAAGGCTTTAGACACAGCAGAGAGGTATACCTTGCTTCTTGGAGTACACACACACACACACACACACACACACACACACACACACACACACACACACACACACACACACACACACACACACACACAAGGAGTTGCTCGAGTCTTGAACTATGTTCAGGATTAAACTCTTCTCACTAGTTGATCAGTACTCTTTATTTTGGTGGACCTTAATAACCCTCCCGTGATCGATAAGCCGCCAGCATATCTCCAAGCCGACTGGTCGTGATGCTTGCGAGCGTAATCATCTGCACGTGAGTTCATTTCACGTGCATTTGTTCGAGTTTGTTCTTTTGTGCACGTGAGTCTTGCAATGGGGGGGGGGAGGGACGTGGATGGGAGGGGGGGTAGGGGGATAGATTAACAAACAGCATCCTTCATGAGGATGGGAGATGCCTTCCATCCCACTCATCATAACAATGAGTGTCTCAAAGTACAATGAGTTGTTTCTTGATGCTGAGGAGAAAGTCTCGGAGAAGATAAAGGGAGCTATCAGGAGAAAGCGCCATGCTATTATTACAATATAGCACTTGGAAGGGGGTCAGGATAAGGATTTGGGATGGAACGGGAGGAAAAGAATGATGCCCAACCAGTTGCAGACGGTCGGGGAATTGAACGCCGACCTGCATGCAGCGAGACCGTCACTCTCCCGTCCATCCCAAGTGGTTGGGCAAGTTTCAGAGAAGAGAACTTTACATCTCGACAAATTCTGCCGAACCACTTAGGCTGGACGGTAGAATGACGGTCTTGCTTCATGCAGGTCGGCGTTCAATCCCCGATCGTCTACAAGTGGTTGGGCACCATTCCTTTCCCCCGTCCCATCCCAAATCCTTATCCTGACCACACCCAAGTGCTATATAGTCTCGTAAATGAGATCTTAAGTGGCATTAGGAAGTCAGACCTCCTGGTGGGGGGCCTTTAGTAACCAATTGGGCATACTACGACTCGCCTACTGCGAGGCGTCACTCACTAATCAGGAGAGGTAACTCACTAAACAGCAGGCGTCACACACTAGGAGGCGTCACTCACACACACTAGGAGTCGTCACTCACACACACACTAGGAGTCGTCACTCACACACACACACTAGGAGGCGTCACACACACACTAGGAGGCGTCACTCACACACTAGCACAGGGCGGCGCCGGTCACTCACCTTTAGAGAACCAGCCAAAGCCGGCCGGCTGCGGATGGTCGGCGTGGATGAGAGTGACGTTGGCCACCTGCTGGTACACGCTGGAGACTCGAACCCGGCACTCAAGGGTCAGGGCCCCCCGCATGAACCACGTCTCCCCCACCACCGCCTCCAGCTCCTGCACGAATACAACTAGCTGAGTACAACTGGGTGAGTACAACTGGGTGAGTACAACTAGGTGACTACAACTAGGCGAGTACAACTATGTGAGACAACTAGATGAGTACAACTAGGTGAGTACAACTAGATGAGTTCAACTAGATGAGTACAACTAGGTGAGTACAATTAGATGAGACAGCTAGGTGAGTATAACTAGGCGAGTACACATACGGTACATGAAAACACAATCAAATGCAGCATAACTAAATCCTCATCAACAACAACGGCATCAATGTATCCTAAAGTCTTATACAGCAGCGATAGATGTAATGCATCTATTTAATGTATGATGTAGATGTAATATACACCTGGTCCGCGTAACTAAGCAGTACGAGGACCTATAAGATGGACAAAGGAGAAAAACACCATTAATTGGCCATAAATAGGGAATCTCTGGCTATTGGAGGACTTTTATCCACCCTTCAAGTAATCCCTATATTCTTCTCACTCACTAACTCATCACCCTCACTACTCACCGAGAGCTGGATGAGTCTACCGCGGCGGTCCGTCTGGTGGGAGCGCTGAAGGAGGGTGTGTGGGGGCGGGGGGTCAGAGTTCACCCTCCAGGATATCTCCGCTGGCGGGTCAGACCGGTCGACTTGGCAGCGGGCAGCTACGACGTCTCCTGGCCTAACCCGCGCCCCTTCCAGGCCGCCCACGCCCACGCCCTCGGTCACCCCCGCGCCCTGGCTGGCGTGGGTGTTCTTCACCACGCCTGTGATCTCTGGACCCCATTTGGGGACATCTGCTGAGGAGTCAGACAAGTGGAGTGGGACAAAGGGGGGATGGGGTGGGGGACGGATGATGGGTGAGGGGTATGGATAGGAGGGGGAGGGGAAAGGGATAGGGGTGGAGGATGGTTGAAGGGAGAGGGATTGGGGGAAGGTGTTTATCTCTTGTCAAGGCATGATAGCACAATCATGCCTTTCAGAACGAAGAATTTGTCAAGATAAAGATATATTTGATATTGATTAAGGTTATGTGTTTTGATACTGATAAAGTCTCACTCTCTCTCTCTCTCTCTCTCTCTCTCTTCTCTCTCTCTCTCTCTCTCTCTCTCTCTCCTCTCTCTCTCTCTCTCTCTCTTCTCTCTCTCTCTCTCTCTCTCTCTCTCTCTCTCTCTCTCTCTCTCTCTCTCTCTCTCTCTCTCTCTCTCTCTCTCTCTCTCTCCCTCCTCCCTCCCTCCCTCCCTCTCTCTCTCTCTCTCTCTCTCTCGCTCTCAATCTCTCTCTCTCTCTCTCTCTCTCTCTCTCTCTCTCTCTCTCTCTCTCTCTCTCTCTCTCTCTCTCTCTCTCTCTCTCTTCCTCCCTCTTTCTCTCTCTCTCTCTCTCTCTCTCTCTCTCTCTCTCTCTCTCTCTCTCTCTCTCTCTCTCTCTCTCTCTCTCTCTCTCTCTCCCTCCCTCTCTCCCTCCCTCCCTCCCTCCCTCCCTCCCTCCCTCCCTCTCTCTCTCTCTCTCTCTGTCTCCCTGTGATACACTCACCTACCACCGTCATATTGACGGCATGGTCGTCCGTCTCAAAGTAAGGCTTGTCACTCATCACCTCACAGCGGAAGATGCCGGATGTGGCTCGCGTCACACCTGTCAGCCTCACGGTGGGGCCGGCGCTCCCCGGCTCCTGTAACACCCGCGCCACACCCCTCTGTATAAGGCCACACTGACACACTCGAGTATAACACCACAAGTATGACATTGACGCCAGCATAACGCCACCTCCGTCAGTGTAAACATCATCATGACAATTGCATATGTTGCATACTTTGCATATTTTAATGGCTAATCTATTGCTTGTTATCGATATCCTATCTCAAGGCCAACTCATATCTCTCTTCCAGTCTCCTTACCTGTCCATTAAAGAACTTTAATTGTTCACAAGTTACAGAAGATGAGTCACAATAACATGTAGCTGAAGATATGAGGACCAAACCACATATCACATGATGAGGAGACGACGACGTTTCGCTCCGTCCTGGACCGAATTAACACACGCGACTTGATAAGTGTCCCATGATGGACCGAAACGTCGTCGTTTTTCCATATTCTGATGGGTAGTTTGGCCATCATATTAACAAGTTCGTATATGTGTAGCGCCGAAAACATATACTCAATAAGGAGAGAACACAAGGATTATTAATGCTACTTCATGAATATGAACTCTACACCCACCCACACACACACACACACACACACACACAAAGTGTAACGTATATATATACACCTTGTGTGTATATACGATACACCTTGTGGGGTATACTCACATCAACGTGTATATGGGGAAGCGGGTAGACTCGGACGGGCGGGTCTCTCTTGGGGATATACTCGTAGAACTGATTCACATCCCTGTACCACTTGACCGAGTAGAGAGGATCGGGCCGGTCCTTGTTGTGTTCGTAGTTACAGGTCAGCTGTACCGCAGAGCCGGAGACGACAGCTGACGGTACCACCACCCCAGACACCCGCAGGCCCCAGCCTGCTGGGGGGAAGTTACAGGTCAGTGCAGGTTTTAACAGTAATAGGGGGTGTTTGCTTGGGTTCAGTCAGTATCCTTGTTTACAGTGAGTCATTAAGAACAGCTTCATTATTTACAGTGGGATTATTAAGAACAGGCTCGACATTTACAGTGGATCATTAAGAACAGGCTCGTCATTTACAGTGGGTTATTAAGAACAGTCAGCCTTGTCATTTAGAGGTGATCATTAAGAACAGGCTCGACATTTACAGTGGATCATTAAGAACAGGCTCGTCATTTACAGTGGATCATTAAGAACAGGCTCGACATTTACAGTGGATCATTAAGAACAGGCTCGTCATTTACAGTGGGTTATTAAGAACAGTCAGCCTTGTCATTTAGAGGTGATCATTAAGAACAGGCTCGACATTTACAGTGGATCATTAAGAACAGGCTCGACATTTACAGTGGATCATTAAGAACAGGCTCGACATTTACAGTGGATCATTAAGAACAGGCTCGTCATTTACAGTGGATCATTAAGAACAGGCTCGACATTTACAGTGGATCATTAAGAACAGGCTCGACATTTACAGTGGATCATTAAGAACAGGCTCGTCATTTACAGTGGATCATTAAGAACAGGCTCGACATTTACAGTGGATCATTAAGAACAGCCACATCACTTACAATGGCTAAGCCACTATGGCTATACACTATAGCTATGACTCATATAGGAATATGAGGGATAGGAGCTAGGACAAGTGGACAGAGTGAAGAAAAGGTGTCTAACTTAATGGACTATCGAGAATCGAGCACCGATCCTGCAAGAAACTAGGGTTGTCGCTCTGACAAATGGTCTTTGCCCAGCAGAGATTCACGTTATGTACTAAAAGAAAAGGACGTGCAGAAAGAGGAAATTCATGCCACAGAAAAAGATGCAAAATTAACCGTATATAAGGAGACTAATGCAGAAAAAAATTAAGAATTTTCAACATGCTGAAAGGAGAGATGTTATTAATGTTAGTAAAAGCAGAGTTACTTGCCCCTGGCGGCGAGTCCAAGGAGCAGCAGAAGGTGCAGATGAGCGGCAGTCGCAGCTAGGTCCAGCCTCATCTTTCAGCAACCAGGAAATCCAATCCAGAGGCACCGTCGACGCCTCCGTCAACTCGCCGCGCCACACCCCCTTCACAGGATGGGCCCCCAGTCCTCAGGCACCGTCGACGCCTCCGTCAACTCGCCGCGCCACACCCCCTTCACAGGATGGGCCCCCAGTCCTCAGGCACCGTCGACGGCTTCGTCAACTCGCCGCGCCACACCCCCTTCACAGGATGGGCCCCTACTCCTCAGGCACCGTCGACGCCTCCGTCAACTCGCCGCGCCACACCCCCTTCACAGGATGGGCCCCCCACTCCTCAGACACCGTCGACGCCTCCGTCAACTCGCCGCGCCACACCCCCTTCACAGGATGGGCCCCCCACTCCTCAGACACCGTCGACGGCTTCTGATGCTGGAGTTCACAGGAGATAAATGAACTTTTGAGTCTTTTAATGTTTTTGGGTCGAGGCTAAAACCAAGTGCGACTCGTGGACAAGTCTGAAGATGACCATGATTTGAGATATTTTAGGACAAAAAAAAAGGTGGAAAGAGATCTGAGTTAAAGTTAATAGAATGTCATTAGAAATGTTTTTAATGTAACTTTGGTGTTACTTCCTCCCCCACCCCCCACCCCGCCTTCCATCACCTTGGAAAACATATTTACCTTACGATAATATTAAAGGCAAGAGCTCGGAGAAAATCTGTCAAAACTTAATCTTAACTAATATAAATTTCTCCTATAAATATAAATATATATTTCTCCTATAAATATATATATATATATATATATATATATATATATATATATATATATATATATATATATATATATATATATATTTATATATATATATATATATATACATACATACATACATATACACACTTCTAAGGTTGTTATGCCAAGGCTCTGGCGATTAGAGTGTTGGTAAAGATACATACGGTTAGCATAAGGAAGAGCTGGAGATAATCTACACACCTAATAGCTTTATAAAAGTATTTGGAATTGCATTATAAATCAAATAAGTTTACTTACAATTTAAAACTGACGAGTTGTCTGGGCGTGACAACAGGTTCTCATCATAGAACACCCAACATGCTGCTTTGCTTTATATATATATATATATATATATATATATATATATATATATATATATATATATATATATATATATATATATATATATATATTAGTGCTGTTCTTTGTATTCTTGTAGCTGTTGTGGTTTATTATTATTATTATTATGATTATTAGTATAATTATTTATCACTGTTTTTCTTATAATTGCTGCTGTTCTCTCCTGTTGTCTCTACTGGATGTTACAGTTCGACCGAGGATTGTCTGTCTGTCTGTCTGTCTGTCTGTCTGTCTGTCTGTCTGTCTGTCTGTCTGTGATTCCAATCACACTCCCTCATTCTTCTACACTAAATTGCCCGGGTACATAACCACACACGGAATCCATCGCTCTATTTCCGAGGAAGAGGCCACAAATTGTGGCCCTCGTTGCGGATCACGGGTGAACACACTGCCAACGACATGTTTTCTATGTATGAATAGTGAGAGTTAAATGACAGGAGGAACAGTCGTGTTGGCCAGCCTTTTGGTATAGCTACTGTGAATATTTGTCCACTGGTGACTGGACCCCCATGTGGGTATATGTGTTGGTATACCTGTAGGGAGAGTGTGTACTCATCTAGTTGTACCTGTGGGGGTTGAGTTCTGGCTCTTTGGTCCCGCATCTCAACTGTCAATTAACTGGTGTACAGAATCCTGAGCTTACTGGGCTCTATCATATCTACATTTAAAACTGTGTGTGGAGTCAGTCTCCACCACATCACTGCTTAATGCATTCCATCTGTTAACTACTCTGACACTGAAAAGTTTTTTCTAACGTCCCTGTGGCTCATTTGGGTACTCAGTTTCCACCTGTGTCCCCTTGTTCGCGTACCACCCATGTTAAACAGTTTATTTTTATCTACCCTGTCAATTCCTCTGAGAATTTTGTAGGTTGTGATCATGTCTCCCATTACTCTTCTGTCTTCCAGTGTCGTGAGGTGCATTTCCCGCAGCCTTTCCTCATAACTCATGCCTTTTAGTTTTGGGACTAGCCTAGTGGCATACCTATTAACTTTTTCAAGCATCGCCTTGTGCTTGACAAGGTACGGGCTCCATGCTGGAGCCGCATACTCCAGAATTGGTCTTAAATATGTGGTATACAAGGTTCTGAATGATTCCTTTCACAGGTTCCTGAAGGCAGTTCTGATGTTAATACACTGCAGATGTTATTCTTTTGATGTGGGATTCAGGAGACAGGTTTGGTGTGATATTAACTCCCAGATCTTTCTCTCTGTCTGTTTCATGAAGGACTTCCTTCCCCATTCGGTATCCTGTGTCTGGCCTCCTGTTTCCACTGCCTAGTTTCATTACCTTACATTTACTCGGGTTGAACCTTAGTAGCCATTTGTTAGACCATTCATTCAGTCTGTCTAGGTCATCTTGTAGCCTCATACTATCTTCCTCCGTTTTAATTCCCCCCTCATAATTTTTGCCTCATTAGCAAACAATGAGAGGAATGATTCTATACCATCTGGAAGATCATTTACATATATAAGAAACAGTATGGGTCCAAGGACTGAACCCTACGGGATTCAACTGGTGACGTCTCGCCAGTCTGAGACCTTAGCCCTCACAGTGACTCGCTGTCTTCTGTTACTTAGGTACTCCCTTATCCAATGGAGTACCTTCCCTTTCACTTCTGCCTGCATCTCCAGCTTTCGCACTAGTCTCAGATGTGGAACTGTGTCAAAGACTTTCTGTCAATCCAAAAATATATAGTCTGCCCACCCTTCTTGCTCTTGTCTGATGCTTGTTGCCTGATCGTAGAATTCAATTAATCCTGTGAGGCATGACTTGCCATCCCTGAAACCATGTTGGCGTTATGTCACAAAGTTCCTTCGCTCCAGATGTTCCACTAGCTTTTTTCGCAAAATTTTCTCTAATACCTTGCATAGTATGCAAGTTAGGGACACTGGCCTGTAGTTCAGTGCCTCCTGTCTATCCCCCTTCTTGTATATCGGGACTACCTTCGCTGTCTTCCAAACACACAAGACACACACGTCTTGTGTGTGTGTGTGTGGTGTGTGTGTGTGTGTGTGTGTGTGTGTGTGTGTGTGTGTGTGTGTGTGTGTGTGTGTGTGTGGAAAATATATGCATGTTAATGTATGAAGACTAACTTGTATAATATGATATGTAGGATCACAGGAAAAATAGAAGTCTCGTGCAGTAACAGTCTTTCTTTCGGAAGACTTCCACACCTCTTTTCCAAGTTCTATCTCCTCTATTAATAATTTTTTTTTCGGGAGGGTGGAGACAAAGTTTTTTAATATGTTCTCACATAGGTTTAGTCTCTGTCATTGCTGCAGTATCAGGGGGTACCTATACTTTCATCAAATGTATTAGTTCGAAGTGTTTAGAAGGCAGTTTAAGTATACTGCCTTAAGTATTTGTTCAGTTTAAGTATATTTGTATAAAGCACTTTTGAAATTTGAATAATTTTGGTAGTCGTGGTTAATCCTATTTGATAGGTTTCATCATTCGTATTATTGTGATATATTTATTTTTAATCTTGCGAGATCTTTTCTAATTGTCACATTCATACAATTTTTATCTTTACACGTTTCTTTCATACATCATTCAACCATCTTTCACACTTCCCCTAAGTATTTAATATTACTGAAGGCAAACTTCAGATGTCTATAGTCCCTTCAGCCCAGCAATGAGTTCCCTTAAGATCAATAGGTTATAATATAATATATATATATATAATATATATATATATATATATATATATATATATATATATATATATATATATATATATATATATATATATATATATATATATATATATTATTAAATATGACCGAAAAAGTAAGATTAATAATTCTAACACGAATTTTCTCAATCTTTTGTACATTTCTTTTCACTGTTGGAGGTAATTAAAAAATCAATTCTCCAAAATTCATTTTTATTTCTAGTCTGACGCGACACTTGAGCTCGTTTCGTAAAACTTATTACATTTTCAAAGACTTTAGTTAACACATACACAACTGAATAGAACTTACACATCTCCGATTTTGTTTATATCTACATTTGAGTGAGGTGGATGGGGTGAGGTGGTATTTAATAAGGTATTAATTTCATCAACACAAGCCAGAACATGAAACAATGGGTATTGAATAGAAGTGATTGTAGAAAGCCTATTGGTCCATATTTCTTGATGCTTCTATATTGGAGCGGAGTCTTGAGGTGGGTAGAATATAGTTGTGCATTAATTGGCTGTTGATTGCTGGTGTTATTACCATATTGTCCCTTGAGCTCAAAGCGGCAGCTAAAAGCCTTCGTGAGAACAAGGAGATAGTTGTCAGGAGAGGTGACAAGTCGCCAATATATGTCATTCTTAAAAAAGACGAATATCTGGCGAAAATGAACCTCATACTCTCTGATCAAACTAAGTTCCAAAGGGTAACGAAGGACACTACAGCCGAATTAAAAGCAAAGGTCAACAAACTGATCGAAACTGTGAACGCCAAGAAATCCGGACTCCACCTGCCAAAGATCATTGGGGAATATAAACCTGGATTAAACACCAGCAATCAACAGCCAATTAATGCACAACTATATTCTACCCACCTCAAGACTCCGCTCCAATATAGAAGCATCAAGAAATATGGACCAATAGGCTTTCTACAATCACTTCTATTCAATACCCATTGTTTCATGTTCTGGCTTGTGTTGATGAAATTAATACCTTATTAAATACCACCTCACCCCATCCACCTCACTCAAATGTAGATATAAACAAAATCGGAGATGTGTAAGTTCTATTCAGTTGTGTATGTGTTAACTAAAGTCTTTGAAAATGTAATAAGTTTTACGAAACGCGCTCAAGTGTCGCGTCAGACTAGAAATAAAAATGAATTTTGGAGAATTGATTTTTGAATTACCTCCAACAGTGAAAAGAAATGTACGAAAGATTGAGAAAATTCGTGTTAGAATTATTAATCTTACTTTTTCT